AATTGAATAAATAAAACTAAATAAATAATGAGCCAAATACTAAAAAAATCATTCTACATATCTTCTAACCAATTAGTAAATCTAAAACAGTATATATATTACCTTCTTGATCTTACTGAGAAATCAAACCAAAGATCCATAATATGAAAATTCACTCACATGCATGCATAACTAATCACAACATAATTGTTGTGTACATGCAAGAAAATCATGATCAATCTAATTTTCAAATAAAATATAGCATCAAATGGCTGGCAAGATTCTTAGCTAAAAAAATGATACAATAAAAGTTTGCAAGAGACATAATTAGCAAGAGCATAAGACTAAGGCTTCGTTTGGGACGGCTTTCTTGCTGCTTCTTAAAATAATTTTTTAGTTCAATAATTAAAATTTTTGTACTAAAAAACTGCTTTAAGAAGCAACAAGAAAACCTAGTAAATGCAATTACTAGGCCCCCAGCTTAAGTCATCTGGATTAGCCCTAGTTAAATCAAGATGTAACATTATTCAATCATAAATTAATCAAGAGATAATATGATCTCCACCATCCATTATTAATATCAATGAGGAATATTTTTTATATGGATTGAAATGCATTATAAATGTTATAAATAGTTCCTTATTTAATTCATTGGTTAGAATTTCTTAAGCTATTCACAATAATTTAATAAATAGTTCCTTATTTTTGATATACTCTTTTGACTGTGCTTCACCTAGTTATTGTTATTGTGGCTAACATATTCCGATTGATCGATTGATGAGGTGTGATCATATTACATGTTGACACTTGAATAATAAACAACTCCCTTAACTGATCTACGGTCTACAAACCATCAAATAATTACATCGAGCATATTAGCCACAATGACAATAACTAGTAGGTGAAGCAAATCAAATGAAGAATTTATGCTGTTCACAATCATCCTACAGTAGCATATCATCATCAAATGCATTTTATATGGTAGCATTAATAGAGTCACACGCCATTTGAAGATCTGATAATGATCAAGACCACAATAAGAAGCACAATTCATGTCAATGTTACAAGAATGCTCTATTATTTGAATTATTCTAAGGAGAATACTTCATCAAGAGCACATGCTATTCACCATGATATTATGAATCTATCATTGAAAAGATCTGAGAGAAGGCAAAAAATCTTCATCAAAATAATTAATGAAAAAAATATTTTCCCAATCAAAGATTAGCATTGTTTCATAAAGAGAAAATCTATAATAAAAAAATAAAATACAAAACTCGTGGCACTTCATCACTTAGGCTTAGTATGGGACAGCTGCCTTACTGCTTTCTAAAACAACTTTTTAGTATTAAATTTTCGATTCCAATTTTTTTTTTACTAAGAAATTGCTTTAGAAATCAAGAAAAAGTTGTTCCAAATGAAACTTTAATTCGATATATTGATAAAAAATCTCACCAAATAAAAATCTATGGCACCCAATATTTTAATCAAAGCACTTAAAAAATCAAATCCCAAATAAATTTTATTTGTGTAAATTTACTTTGAGAGCGTGGAAACACATTTTAATAAATAGAAGTCATTTTCTTCTTCTCACTCTTTTTTATTTTTTATTTTTAAAGAAGCTTGCTATTGGGTTCAAAATAATATCAAAAACCTACTCTTCGTGTCTTGTCCACGGGGTTTTAAAAATCGGATTGGACAAACGGGTCCAACCAGTTTAATTGTGAACCAGTATTAAGGCTAGCCTAATTCATCTTGAAAATTATTTTTACATCAAATTAGGCTAAACCGGCTAAAATCGCTAGTTTTCATTTGTTATGTTCAAGAAGATAATTTCTCTCTTATTTAGGAACTTTTATTAGGTCCGGTGTAAGGACGTAGATGAACGTCCGGTCGGAGGCAAAATCCAGCCAAAAAACTCGGTATTACTAGGTATTATTTCATAATAACGAGAAATACCGCTCTGTGAAGATCAATACCTAGTTATACTGAGCTATACCGAGTTTTTTCTAGGAAAAACTCGGTACAACTTTTGTATAACTCGGTATTGCTCGGTATAACTCGGTATTGAGTCTTCACGTGATGGTATTCCTCGTTATTGTTTGGTATTGCTCGGTATTTGCTAGGTATTTCTCATTTTTTGACGCGATTTGGCCTCCGACCGGACGTTCCTCTACGTCCGGTCGGAGGACGTAATAATTGTTCCTTATTTAGGGCTTGTGTTGGGCTTTAAAAAATGCAAAACCTGGGCCCCAATCCAATAATTGTTCCCCCAACTAAGGCCTAACTTATGTGGGCCTCTATCCAAGATATTTTATGAGCAAAATCTTGATCATTATATTCAGCATAGTATTATTGATTTGGATTAAAATTTTTAATAATTTCAGCAATAGTGCACTCTGAATAGTCATAAATCTGCACACAAAGTGAATTAATTTGGATGTTGACGACTCTGGCAATCTTTTAAGGGAGTGTTTGATTTGAAAATATTTAGTTATTTTGATTCTTTGAAAAATAAATTCAAGATAACTTTTTAAGGAATTTTATATTTGACTCTTTGTTTATTTTTGATATATTTTAAAATTGGTTTATTTTGAACGATTTATAAATATGGTGCGTATCTTTTCACTCATTATTATTAATCACCGTCATTATCACAGGTCACCATCATCATTGGCTACTTCGCTACCATCACCGACCACCAGCCACCGCCCATCGCCATCACCAACCCACTAAAATATTTTTACCCGCTTCAGGTCCGGGTCAACCCGACACGGCCCGAATGACCCGTTTCAAACAAAAAAATTGCTAGTTTTCGGGTCAAAAATGGGTCTATCTCATCTTTTTCGTGTAAAAAATGGGTCAAAATCGGGTCAATCTCGGGTTGCCTGGTCAAAATCGGGTTTTCGGATCAATTTCGGGTCAAAGGGTTAACCCGAACCCGACCCGATTTTTGAAACGGGTCGAAATGTTGAACCCGAACCCGACCCGTTTCGGGTTCGGGTTGACCTGAACCCGAAATTTTCGGATCGGGTTCGAGTCAGGTTTTCTGGTCGTGTTAAATATTGATACCCCTAATCATAATAATATGAAACCAGACAAATTAGTTTAAAACTTATGGAAATTTTAATATATAAATAAAAATTTACAAATGTTTACATATTTTTATAGTTTATATGCATGAATTCTTAGTGCAAAAAATTGGATATTTTGTGTTTGCCACCAAAAAAGAAGGAAGCTAAGAGCTGTAAATGAATTGAACCGAACTTGAGTCAAGGCTAAATTGAACTCGGCAAATCTGCTCAATGACAAGCTTGAACTCAAGCTTGAGCTCGAGCCATGTTCAAATGACAAGCTCAAGCTCGACTCGTCGGAAAAGTACTGTTCTTGAGCCAATCTCACTGTGAATTATCCTATTTCAACCTAATCTCAGGACTACTTGAGTTATTATATTAAGGCTCTTAATCAAATAATGGCTCGTCCTATTTGATTTTGAGCTAGCATGGCTCAAAATTGGCTCGAGTTTAATCTAGCGTGAAATCGAGTCGAGCTCGCCTAAATGAAGCTATTTGATCCAAACTTAACCAGAAAATCAGAACGAGCTAGCTCATTTCAATTGAATTAGTTCAAAGTTTATGAGTAAAAATGAGTTGCCAAAAAACTATAAAATTTTATTTAACCTGACAAGGCATTGAAAAAAAAACTTTAATATACTGACAAATCACATAAATGCTTATTTACATCTACAGTTTCTCCTCAACGGCTCAATCAAAAGGGGGCCATAGTCAACCAAATTTGAAGCCGCATCTATGAAAATGTCACAAAAAGGCCAAATTAGCATAACTGCAAGCAGCCAAGCCAAACATTTTGCTTCATAGCCAACATCAACCACTCAAACTAACATCCAGGGGCGGATCCAGCTTCTTTTTTCAGGGTGGGCAAAAAAAAAAATTTTTGTGGGGGATGGGCAAAGATGCTTAGGATTGATTAAATGAGGACAAAAAAAAATTTTGAGAGGGGGCAAAATACCCAAAATACCCAAAATATTCCAAAATATCCCTCTAAAATTAAAAAAAAAAAAAAATTTGAGGGGGGGCAAATATGCCCCCCCTCAACTCAATGGGGATCCGCCCATGCTAACATCAATCTCTCATCAAGCCAAATTTCAAACCGAGAAAGCTTACTTTCATTTTCATAAAGCCAAACATCAATCTCTCCTAAGATTTCATCTAGGACGAGTTCTTACTGCTTTATAAAGCTATTTCTTAGCTAAAAAATTTCTTGAAAATAGTGAAAAAACAGTACCAAAATCTATGACTTCATTTGGCACAACTTTTAGCCACTGATTTTTTATTGCTTTTAAAAAAAATTGTATTAAAATACTAAAAAAAACAGTAAGAAAATTATCCCAAACTCTTAAGGATTGTTTTGTATTTAATTTGTAGCAGGATTTACACCAGATTTACGATAAATCCTATCAAACAATTTTCAAGCCCATAGTAAATCTGAATCCTCGTAAATCCTAAATTTACAGATTTACGGCCTAAAATTAGAATTTCATAAATTCAGACGTTCGACGGATCTACATATTTACGGACTACAAGATTTACAGATTTAACGAAAGAAGTACATGAATTTTACTATCGAATAGTAGTCTATCGTTGTTTAGATAAATATTAATATATCATAGTGTCAAGTACTCTTTCTGCATGTACTACTTTCTATTGTATGAGCTCATGTTGCGTTTATTATGTAGTATAGAGTAATCTTGAATTTATAACAAACATATTGATGTAATTCAACATTATTTATTTATATTTAAATCTCTAACTATCTTAAATCCTGAAATCTGTTATCAAACAGTTCCTCAAAATTTAACAAGATTTAAAATTTGTCATACCAAACAGTTTTTAAGATTTAACAGCCTCAAAATTTACTAAATAAGAATTTACATAATTTACTAAATTCCGCCAAAATTAAATCCAATCCTATACAAAACAGCCCCTCAGCCTGGGAGAGAGATGAAAACCTATCTGCCTTGAAGCCAATTGATTCTGGCTCAAGCAAAGATCTTTTCTACATGTTCGTTGAAGAAAAAGACAAACATTTTATCTTAATTTACATTCCTGCAACCCCCATTGTGATTTCCTCCTCCATTATTCAATGAATAGCCCAAACAAAAGCTGAAAATCTCTCAAAAGTATCAAATACTACACATATAACAACCACTGTGCGACTCCAATGCTTCTATGAAAGTTGAGCAATGGCAACTTCGGCTTCGTTTGGGACGGTTTTCTTCATGCTTCTTAAAATAGCTTTTAAATACAAAAAAAATATTTTTTATTCTAAAAAGTTGCTTTAAGAAATAGTAATAAAGTCGTCCCAAACGAAGCCTTCATAATCCCATTCCAATGGCTTACAAATCAGATAATCATGCCGATTTCTGATTTGAAGAAGTCAGTTTCTCTAGCTGTTTTCTCAGATAAGCCTGCCTGAGTTTCTCTCTTCGAGCGGCCTCTTGCTCTTGCCGTCGCAGCTTGACCAGTGTACTCTTCTCCCTGGCCTGGCTCGCCTCTTCATGAACTTCTCTGATAGCAAAAGTTATTTGCCATGTTTCAGTAGAAAATCATTGCAAAAAACTAGTTTTAGGCTTCATTTGTGATGACTTTTTTAAAGCAGCTTTATAGTACAACAATTTTAATTTTTATACTAAAAAATTGTTTTTTACCAAATGAAACCTTACCTAAGCTGAAATCAGAGTAGGCTTATAAATAAAATATATACCTCACAAAACGCTTGTGCTCATCAGAATCTACTGTGGAGTTTGTTCGCCCAGGTCCAAATGGCCTTGTGCTTAGAACTGCATCATCATCTTTACCATCTTGTTTTTCTTGAGGGTAACCAGAAGCAGGGCTTCTTTCTTCAGGCTGCTCAGGTTCGACTTCTGTAATGCTTTTCTTGAAGAAATCCACACAGTACTTCTCTTGGTCTTCCTCATCAGGGAGCTCACCTCTAACTAGCTTTTCATATAGTTCAGCTTTCCTCTCTAGAGCTGCATAGCTTACTGAGCCATCTTTTATAGCTTTCAGCTCCAGCTTGTCTCTGTACTAATGCGTAGAAAAATAGTTTAGAGAACAACCTTGATTAAACCATCTATTCTTTAGAGAACTCAACGAACATAAATGTTCCATCTTTGGATAAGATCTTTATTTGCCAGAAAACCACAGATTTGATCACAAGTTTTATAGAAAGAGGATTTTTTTGAGTTTTTGCTAAATTTTCATTAGCCTTTTACCAACCCAAACGACATTTTTTTAAAAAACAAGCAACTTTCTTAGCTCGCGTCCATAATATGGCTGGTGATGCATGGAGAGATTATTATGTGCGGATACCGGACACAGCTTACTGTCTAGAGGCCAATCAAGTGCAGTCACACCATCCAATACCGAGCTCGGTACAGAGCAGTACCTTGCAGCTGTACCGAGTAGGGGCTGACGTGGCAAATTTTTATTGGACTCTGAACAGCGTTTGGCATCCGCACAAAATAATTCATCGTGATGCATGACAGAGAATATAGATGTTCTGCATTTTAGCTGTAAGCCTAGTGATGTAGAACGTACATGCGAAGATGAGTTACTTAATGAATTTGCACGCTTAATTTTAGAGCACAATAATTATATCCTTAGAGTGATTTTGAAAGACAAAATAAAACACAAGGGTGGTAAGACGAGCTTAGGCTAAATCACAAGCATAGAAGTTAAGATCATAACACAATCAATTTAATCTAACGTTGCATACATGATTGATTTTCAACAATAAATCCCTATGCTAACAATAAGATTAGTCTCTGAGAGATATCCCTCACTCAACTCTCTAATAGTACTAAGTTTTAGCGGAGGAGTATTGACACTATTCTCATGAATCTACTAAGACCACAATTGAGAAGTAACTATAAAGATAAAGGGGTCGGGGGAAGAGTTTACCCAAAGAAAAAGAAATAGAATATACGAAGCTTTGGTGGCTGTTTGGGGGCTTGAGATGAAGTAGACGGCAACCAAGACCCTTCTTGATGTGGTGGGCAGCAATCGGAAACTTTAGGACAGCACACGAAGATCTCCCGATTGGCCGGACAGCAGGAAGAGATGCAGAATTTCTCTGGACAGCAAAATAACTCCAGCAGGGGCTTTACTTTCAGCAGTCACAGGAAGGGTTTGGAAGAGTAACCAGTGGATGAAGGAGGGGGATGGAATGACCGGCTAGAGTAGGGAGGAGCGGCACAACTTTGGGCCCGATTTTGGATTCAATAGGTAGGAGACCAAAGAGGGAAAACCTGAAATATGTTTCAGAATTTTCGAATTGGGAATTAGGAAGGGATTTGAATTTCAAATCCCAAGTAATTAAGGAGAATAAAGAGGTGGCTGATTTGGGGGGGGGGGGGGGGTTGGTGGGGGGGGGGGGAGATTGGGTTTGATTTAGAAGGAAATAATTAAGCAAGAGAGGGGAAAAGGGGCCGGCCATATGGGGTGAAAGGATTAGGCGTCTAGGTTCAATGCATGTGGGCCCCAGGGATTTAATTACTGATTTAAATCAAATCTGAATCTTGATTTCATATTTCATTTAATTGGGGGAGCTTTCCTAATTGGGGCTTATTAATAGGGAAGATATTTGAAATTCAAATATTTATTTGAATTCAAAGTAAACCTTTCCATATTAATGACAAAGAAAATTAGGAAAGTAATTATGGTGAAATTTGAATTTTTTGAATTGCAAAATTTATGATATATAATTGATTGCAAATAAATACACTTTTCAAATATAGCTATGTCGATTTAGGAAGTTATTTGAAATTCAAATTGATGAGTTATCTTCCTAAATCACTTGGGTGAGTTTTGGTAAGTGGTAATGATGATGAAAATCATCATGAATGGTGGGAGGGCCAAGGTGGCCGGCGGCAAGGAGGTGGAGGGGCAGCGGGTAATGGGGAATCACGGTAAGTGGTTGAGGCCGTCGGTTTGGGGAGAAAGGGAGGGGATTGCCGGCGGTATAGGGGAAGAGGAACGAGGAAGATTAAGACTAAAATAAAGAACCAAGAACTCACAAAAAGATCGTAGAACCGCGAACCTTGAACTCTTCCAAAGGTTGACGAGTATTGCGATTGCCCACACCTCGGGTCTTCCTTCTTCTCTCAAACACTAAACATTGAGGGAGACAGAGAAATCTGAATTTTCATTAATCAATCATCCTCCAATACAAGAGAGTTAGCCTATAAATAGGCCTCATGAAAAGAAAAATAACAAAGACTAAAACGCCCTTCGGGCTACAACACTACATGACCACTCCTAAGGGTAAAATGAGAAAAACAGTAATATAAGATAAACTAGTACATAAGACATAAAAATAAAATAAATAAAATAAGCTCTAGATCGTAGTCGTTGATCTTCCGATGTCCTCATCACCTAGTTGGTTAATAAACAAGTAGCACTGAGTCAAAACTAATCCTATGTAAATAAAAAGTTCAATCGCATAACATGGCTTCCAATAAATAGTAATAAACTCCAGAAAAGCTCCAAATGGCTAAAAAAACAACACTGGACATATGTCGGTTAAAAAGAAATGAAGTCATTTTGAGTAAAAGTTAATAAACCAAGAAATTAGGTCACGCTGCTACTGAAACCAATAACTGGCTATTTTTTAGAAACCCATAAGATACATGTATTTCTTTAAAGGTCCTTTGGCACCTGACACCCTTCAGACTCCTTGCAAATGTATTGGCTATGAAATGATTCAGCTTTTCAGTTATGACAGTGATTTAGCCTTGAGAGAAATAAGCGAGGAAGGGAATTTTTTAGTTTTTGCAATATTTTCAGTAGTCTTTTACCAACCCAAGTGACAGGTTTTATAGAAAAGCATGAAAAAATAGCTGTTAGAATCCTTGAAAAATCAAATTTTACATTTGCAAAACTTGAAATGGATCTTAAAATAGCTGTTAGAGTCACCAAGAAGAATTCAGGCCCATCCTACATTGATTTTGGGTCAGCATGGAGAAATCGGGCCTGCTAGGGACTTAACGGCTTTTAATGTTAGGGTTTTATAGGTATCAAATTTTATGGAGGAATCTCATATCTAGGAGTCAACAAAATGTTTGTGTTATTTTAGAGAAGTTTTTCCAAAGTATGCTATATATAATTTGGATCTTAATATGCAGGTAGATATGAAAGAACAACAACAACAACAAGCCTTTGTCCCACTACGTGTGATCGGCTACATGAATCCTTTTTCGCCATTGTGTCCGATTAAAAGTCAAATTTTCATTTAAATCTAATAAAGAAAAATCATTTATAATATTTTCTAACCAAGTCTTTTTAGGCCTACCTCTACCTTTCTTAACATAAATCAAATCTAATACCTCAACTTTCCTAACTGGGTCATCGGAAGGCCTCCGTTTAATGTGACCAAACCATCTAAGGCGACTCTCTCTAATCTTATCTTCCATTAGAGCTACTCCAACTTTTTCACATATATGCTCATTTCGTATCCTATCTCTAAGGGTCAAGCCACTCATCCACCTAAGCATCCTCATCTCTGCAACACTTAACTTAGTATTATGCTTCTCTTTTAATGGCCAACATTCGGCACCATAAAGCATTGCAGGTTTCACCACCATCTTATAGAATTTTCCCTTAAGTTTGAGGGGGACTTTTCTATCGCACAATAAGCCCGATGCATTCCTCCACGTCAACCATCCAACTTGAATTCTGCTGATAATATCCCCATCAATTTCACCATCACTCTGAACAATAGATCCAATATATCTAAAACATGTACTCTTATCATGTAGATATGAAAGAGAGAAATTAAAAAAAAAACACCCAATTTGACCTTTTGTAATTTTAAAATGGTTTCAAATAATCAAACAATCAGAACCAATAAAAGCCTAGTTCCAGACCCGTTTCACAAATGAGTTCCAAGATTCAAGCTTGAGATTGTCTTTTTTTTATTTTTAGAACCAAAACAGGTAAAGGTAGGGACAAGTTGTGAAGCAGCACATAACATGCTTGCATTCCATTAGCATCAGCAGGTATTCCTTCCTGGCAGAGAAAACTAGAAGGAATAAACATGATATTTTGATTTAGGATTGTTTGGGGAAAGAAAGGGGGTAGGAGGTTCAGTTCTGGAAAAGGTAAGACAAAAAAACATCACAAGATCTGAAAAATCAATAAAATGATCCAATTCCTCTAAATCAGTATCCGTTGTTCTTACCATTCTAAAAGCATCACAAATGAAAACCAACGTTCTCCTAATAAGCTCAAATGAGAGAAGTTGAGTGTTGATGTTAAGTGGACAATCAATAAAAAAATTAATGACAAATGCCAAAAAAATAAAATAAATTTGAATTTTACCAACACAAGGAAATTCCCTAGAAGCAACCCAGCACGAGAGAAGGAAGGGTTTGCTAAGACATCAAAACACTCATCCAGAAGTAACACAACATAATTTAACAAATTATGTAGAGTAGGCAAGGATTAGCCAGGTTACCACTACCACTTACAAGTGGGGCGCCACAACATAACTCAATTATGGTTAAAAGTGTGCAAAGACTGACCACAACAACAAAAACAAGCATTTATCTCACTACGTGGGGTCGGCAAAAGGATTATTCACCAAAACTAAATTTGCTAAACCTAATTTGAGGGTCTGAAAGATGGAGTTAATAGGCACAATCAGTAGAAGAGGAATAAATATGTACTTGCAAAAAATAAAAAGAAAAAGATAAAAAACAAAGACATTAAGGAATGGTACAAGCTATTGTATGTTGGAAGGTTAAAAGTAAGAATAACTAAGGATATCGTTGGATAGAGGGCTAAAATATAAATGAATAGAGTTGGTAATCAGTTGATTGTTGTCAATTTAATTATTATTGAGGACATTATAAATAATAATTAGAGCTACAAGTGTAACTAAGTCAAGAAAACTTGCAAGAAGACTCGAGGTCGACTCATTTCTAAGCTCAAGACTTTGATTTAACAAGCCATTAGCTCAACCTAACTCAAATAGATGACTCACCTTACTAAGGATATTTTGGTAAAAAAAATAGAGAAATGTTAAAATCCTACTTCTCTTTTACACAATAAGTTTAAGCATAACATACCTAACCCATGCCATTAATGGTCAACCAAGTCAAGCCATTAATTGAGCTCTATCTTATAACGGCTTAATCAAGTCCAACAGGAGCTTGACTCAATCTCGAGCCCGAGTTTGTGCCACTACTTCATATGTCGAGTTGAATTTGAGTCAGGGTCAACATGATATGATAACATCTATGATGCACCGACACTTCTCCTCAAAGAGGCGTGCATTGTCCGACACCGTGTCCGACATGACACTCGTCCGACACGTGCCCGATTAAAAAAATATTAAAAACTAATTGGACACGCATGTCCGACACACGTATCTTAAATATTTTATAATTTTTTTTAAAATATAATTTCTTATGTTTGGCGAGATTTAAACTAAATTTCTTATTTCCTATCCACAACACCAAATCAACGTCTGCATTTAATACCCATTCATCGAATATTTTCATTTTCATTTCTTTGGCAGTGAAGGTATTTTCATCTCCTCTCTTTTTGTACAATTACAAATCTTTCTCTTGTTGAACCAGAGTTGAAAGTAGTGATATATAATGATGATGATATTGAAGGCCAAAAACAAACCTCTAAAGCTAATCCTAGTAGTTGAAGCATGAATGCTTGATGTTGTAGTAAGTGATTATTTGCTTATATTTTTGTGGTTGTATTAGATATTTTATATTATAAGCTAGAAAAGTTATCAAGTCATTCATTTATTATGTTTGTCATTTTAATATGATATTACATTTAAATATATATACACTATATAAAAAAATGTATTGACGTGTCTGCGTCGTACCCGTGTCCTATATTTTAAAAAAAAGCCGTTTCCCGTGTCCGTGTCCGCGTGTCCACTGCAGTCATAGGATAACATCCATAGTGCTTATGCACTAAGTAGATTATAAGATAGCTTAAAAATTCAATTTAGTAAAGAGAGATGAAAAAACTATAACATCAAATACCCATGGAAGAAAATATAATTATTAATGGTGACTTAAATTAACCTTATTTTAGGATGGTGGCACAAGGCCAGTAAGGAGCTAGAAATGATAATATGAACGTAGTGGAATGATGAAAAGATGGATAATGCTAACCAGAAAACTAATAAGCTTATAAGCCAGCCTCACATTTGACCAATGAGATTTTCTATTGCAGAAAGGTTATATATCAATCATGATCTATGATGCACCGATACGGCACTTAGAGAGGGTATGCAGTGTCGGAAACGGACATGCGTCGGACACGACATGGACACGTGTCCCGCACGGCATTGGAGTGTCGCAATTAAAAATTTAATAAAATTTAAAATCGGACACGCGTGTCGCGTGTCCGTAATTAAATGAGGTATCGGCGATGTCGCAATTAAAAAAATTAAAATTAAAATCCGGACACGCGTGGTCGCATGTCCGGTAATTAAATGATTCGCTAGTAACAGCTCGTGTACCGCTAGTACATGCTCGATACCGCTAAGTACATGCTCGGTACGCTCAGTACATGCTGCGGTATTGCTCAGTACATGCTCGAGTACCGCTCAATACATGCTCAGGTATTGCTCATACATGCTCGGTACTGCTCAGTACTGCTCGCTACCGCTCAGTACATGCTCCGTACGCTCAGTACAGCTTAGTATTGCTACGTATATGCTCGGTACTGCTAGGTACATGCTCGGCATACCACTCGGTATCTTCCCATACAAACAACTTATGAGCTTTAAAATAAGCAGACACTTCAATTACTCTTACAATAAAATTTTGTTCCGGGGCAGCGCCCCGGAAACCCGCAGGGGTGATACCCTTGACCCCGCGACCTGACCGGGCAGGTCGACCAGCAGGGGCCAGCGCCCCCTTGGACCCCGGCAGACTGGTATATTGTTATAATCATGTTGTCTTATTATTGAGATATTTTGATTTCACTTCATATCAAATTTAATTTTGGTGTAACTCATAATCGTATGATTGTTTTGTTAGCAAAATGAGCTATGTTACTGGTGGGGGGGGGCTTGGCATTAAGTGAAGGTTCAAAGAAACATCTGTCCACGCCGTGTCGTGTCCAATATTTTTTAAAAATTCTAATTAGTATATTAATATTAAAAAAATATTATGTGTGTCCACCGTACCGTGTTCCTTATCTTTTTTAAAAATTGCCGTGTCCCGTGTCCGTGTCGTCTCGTGTCCGTGTCGCCGTGTCGTGTCGGTGCATTATAGATCATGATCAAGGGACAAAGTCCCAAAAAGGGTCTTCACATTCAATATAAATTTTTTTAATTATGTATACTACTATTTAAAAATTAGCATGTAATTCTACCAATCTATGATCCTAACCTTTCAATTAAAAAAAAAAATCTCAACGGCTCATATCTTCAAACATAAAATGAATTTGAAGGTTATATAGAATTCTAAAAATGATAATTCAAAGTATAAATTTTATTTTGTGAATCTCTTATAAGTAGATCATGTAACAATGTGGCTCATTTTTGTGCGCAGTTTGCTTTAAACTGTAATTTTTTATGGACGCATAGTGATAGTAGCAATCTTCCTTTTTTCCTTTTTGATGTTGCTGAAGGAAGATGGTGATATATTTTTGCACGGTTAACAGTTACAATGAGAAAATCAGAAAAAGATTCGATTGCTCCATCATCACAAAAAACAAGCCGGAAAATTGGAAGCATCCCACATCTTCAAAACCCTAATTTCCCTTACATGAGTGCATAAGCAGAATAAAGCCTAACTTCAGTAAACAAAAACTACTCAAAGAAAGCAACATCTCAAAATATTTATCTACCACAGAAACATCTCTCGATTTGCAAGAAAGGGGTTGTAATGGAATAAAAAACAACCTCTTGTCGCGTTCCTCTACTCCGGGGTTCTTATGGGATAACGGGCCAGATGGAAGAATCTTCTTCTTGGCACGGAGGTACTCAGAGGAATCAGGGGCCGACTCTCGAGTCTTACGGGATTCTTCCTGGGTGCGGTAAAGCTGAGCCTTGAGCTCTACAATGGAGGATGCTCCCACGCCCTCGATGGCCTTGTGCTTCTTCGGCATCACCGCCGACTCCGTCAGCCATCCCAGGGACTCCATCCTCTTCGTTCTCCCTCCCTCCATCTCTCTCTCTCTCTCGCCGTGGATTGCTGACCGGAGGAAAATTGCGGGGAGAGGTAAAGCTCCGGTCTTTTGTAGGTACAAGTCGGTCCGAACGGCCGGGTCGGGTGCCCTTTTTTTAAACAATTTTCTACAGTACGACAGCAGAACAATTATTAGATCAGATGATCTGAAGTAGCTCTACTTTAGGACACTAATAATATATCGTCACGTGCTCTTACTCTTTACAGCGCGGTCCGATGATCTGACCCGGGATTGCTATGTTCGCGTATTGCTCGGTATTGCTCTAGGTATTGCTCGGTATTTCTCGGTATTGCTCGGTATTGGTATTCACATAATGTTATTTCTCGTTATTGCCGAACAAAATCGATCAATACCTAGCAATACCGAGTAATACCTAGCAATACGCAAACATAGCAATCCCGGCTCCATTCCGGGTCTAATTGTCGGGCCGCGCGGTAAATAGTGAGAACACGTGACACTAATTTACTGGCGTCCGAACGTAGAGCTACGTTAGGTGACCGGACCAAATGAAAGTTCCTCACAAGCTTGCGATAATAGTTACAAAATATCATTGAAGTAGCTGAATCAAACATTGACATTCGTGGGGAAGAAATCATATTTAAATATTATATAATTAAAGATACATTTCTTAATTTTGATCTAATTTTAAAATTAAACACAATAACATATGATATAAAGACTTCAAAAAAAATTGATGTAAAGACATAATATAGTAATACTTGACAGTATTGTGAACAAGTTAGTATTTATGTTTGGCGAAATTATTACATGCGATCACTCAGGTCAATGATGACTCACCACATCATCAATTTATTTTATACCATTGCATACCGGATAACATGGCGTGTTCTGATTGACCTCAGGACAATCTGGTGACCACACATAATAATTTCTCTTATGTTAGAGAGCCCCCAAAGCTTCCTTCCAAAAATGACCCACTACCTTTAATGTTAAATACTAAAAACATGGGAGTGATTGCTCTTTAGCCCGACGCTTCAATAAGAGATTATTACATGCGGACGCCAATCGTGTTCGGACGCAAATAAGGAGGCACCACATCATGCAATGCATTGTGCATTGGGTGATGTGGCGTCTCCTCATTCGAGTTCGGACGCCTTCAACGTCCCACTTAATAATTTATCCACTTCAAGAAATTTCAAATATGTGTAGTCATTATATATATATATATATAATAATTCAGTTCATATTAAGTTTATAAATAAAAAATAAAAAACTGAATTATAAAAAACCTAAAAAATCTTGCCCTTATTATATTGGCCCCTTTCCTTTGACTGAATATTAGAGGTGTAGTAGACTTCTTTTACATTCCTGTCATAGATATTAATATCCATTTTATTTTAAATAGTAAAACATTCAAGTATAAGTTAAAATGCCAGAGTATAAACCAAATAAAAACAAGAGGCAACTTAGATGAAATTTAACACATTTATGTTTCAAAAACATCAATTCATCAATTTCTAATTGACTTTACATATCGCATTTGCCTTTATACCTTTCACAATAACACTTTCATAAGGCTGTCAGCATATGCACATTATAAGAGTTGTCACTTATACTTTTATTAGTAAACTTCACAGAGTTATCAAAATGTCATAATGTACTTGCTACCAGAATAATTTTTATACGTGAATTTATTTAAATTATCAGAATATGTAATGCATGAATGTACTATGCACATATCTCGAGGCTTGCTTAGAACTCAACTTTCATTTATAACTCTCTTTTAACCTCTCACACCTACCCAACATTAGTGAGGTCAGAATAGAGCATAAACTTCCCGCACCCACATAAAGCAATTGGGTTTAGAGCACAACAAAAACCTCCCACACCTGCATAAAAATAAATGAAGTCAGAAAGCCTCTTACATTCACACGACAGATGGGGTTAGAACAGAATGTATAGAGCCCTTGTAACATTTCAGAGAATGCACTTGTAACATTTTAGAAATCAGAACTTCTTCAATGTCATGATTATGATAATTATAATATCAAAACTTCTCCTAGTGTAATTTGAATATATCAACATATAATTATAACTTTAAATATGACTATGATAATATATTAACTATAAGAAAATATCAAAATTGGGATAACATTGCATGTGTATAAGCATACATACCTAACATTTTCTTTTCTAATTATAATTTCAGATGAACATTTAGAGCAACATTTTAAGATTTTTAGAGAATTATAATAATGATTACAAATATATCATTTATTCAATATACACAGAGATTATCTCATAGAAAACTACCTGGTAAATTTTAAATTTTTTATATTCAAAGTGTTAAGAATAAAGCTAGCTACAATATAAAGAAGTTACATGGTGAAAACATCATAAAACCCAACATAGCGAGGACAATTTTGCAATGCTAGGTGTTTAGAAGTTTTCCTCATACTCAACAAAACTCTTAAATGGCCTGACAGACTGATTCAACTATACAGCCTTCGAATCTCTCTCCTAATTTTCTCTCTTCTCCTCTCTCTCTTATCTCTTCATTCTCCAACAAATGAGGGGTTGGGGGTGTGGGTTAGGGTAATTTAGAAATGAATTTAGATTTTTTTTAAACATCATTTCTGCAACACTCACTTCCCCAACGTCGCAGCGCTCCACCAGAATATTCCAAATCCTCCTATGTTCCTCTAATCCGAGAGCCAAGCGCCACAGTGATCCTTCCCAGCATCGCAATGCTCCATTAAATCCTTTCCCAAAATAGAGAGGATATTGTTGTAGTGCCACAGCTCCTAGCACCACGATGCTCTAAAGATTTCGCCTCTTTATGATTTTTTCTTCTTCACTTTCGATTCTAAACTTATTTAAGGTTAATTATACACTTTAAAGCTTAAAATCAATAACCAAATCAGAATGTGTGAGGATTCATAATAGATTAGTTCAATTAGCTGGGTCCGGGGAAAACATATATTAAATATTTCTTGGTTAGATAATATATTCAATAATCTTGAGAAATAGCTTAGTGTTTATTTTTTATTGACACAATTGTATTATCAATGTTTTCTATGTATTATTTTTAGAGGCACATCATAATGCTTATGCTTATAACATTAGATGAATATCATGGTAGAGTTCAAAACTAACCATTATTACAAGGAATATTATTTAGTGTCTAAAGTTTAAGTGAGCACTGTATTTTATCGATTTTGGAAAAAATCATGAAAAGAACTAAGCTGTTAATGGCTACATAGTGGCATTGATTACAAAGTTGAATTGAATTGAATGAAAATTCACAACTTGTAGAAAATTTAATTAATGAGTCTACTGCCCATTGACTGAAGCTTATAAACATGCATGCAAGCTATTACAAACAATTATTGAGAATTTATACTCATACTATAAGATTAAATTCATATACATACACACAACCATACACACTAGAAAATAATAACATATGAGAGGATCTAAGAGAACAAGGAACAATGTAAACATAAATCTAAACATATCAAACTAAACAAACCTTAAGGATTTAAGTTGTTGAAAAATGAATCTACACATACTTTAACTCCAAAGAATATTATATGAACATTTATGATTTTTTGGAGATTCTTTTTTACAATTAGGTGCACAGTACATGAAAATAGTTAATTTCTGGCGAAAATAAATTCGACGGAATTCGAACCCGCTTAGATGGGCTGGGGTGGGTCTGTCAGATTTTAAAATTTCTTTTTGATTTTTCCGACATAAAATTCCATTGACAATTTTACTGGAGGATTATTTTCTCCTGAAATCTGCTGGAAATATTTCCAACGGACTATTTTGTGCCGATAGCATTTTTCAGACGCGCGTTTTACTGTTTAAAAAATTTAAGTCGAAATTAGCAATAAATTAGCAAATCCACCATAAATGCTAATTTCCAACGGATTTTGGGCATTTTCCGGCGAATTTTGGCCACCGGTAACATGTGATTTTCTTGTAGTGACATAATGTGGTGGATACCCCACTGCAAAAATAAATGTTAACCACTTATTAAAATCTCACTTTTACAATGGCACAATATATTTTTTGATTAGATGCCATCAATCTTATGCTAGACTTTGGCACCTCACTATGTTGGTCCTCTTCAATTTTCTAAGGTGGTTATGTTGAAAGATCTCCTTGTCTATGTGCCATAACTCCAACTATTCTAATAATGTAAGAAAGCTTTTAGACAATAGATTTCTTATCTTCTTTAATGTTTGAACTACAATTATGAAAGAGTTAGAACCACACAATGTCATCATTTTCATTGACATTGTAATCTCACATATAGTCCAATGAACTTTATTTTAGATCAATAGATAATAGTGAAATATATATATATGCTCATGACCTTTAGAACTTATCTTCATCACTAATTACATAAACATTACTGCATGCCACTTGAGGAGGTCTTTTAGCTTTTCGTATTTCATAAACTCAATAATTATTGCTTCATAATATTGATCAACCAGTTCATCTAAGATATCAATATCATCTCAAAATATATTTTGATATTGCAAGACACACTCCCTAATTAGAAAAATATCATAAATCCATATGCGATGTATAATTTTGAAATGATAGTATACAAACATAAAGCAATGGAATGGATATATTTCTATCTAGCCATGTTATAACAAAATGCAATTCTAATGCCACCATCATTTTCTCTTTTTTGGGAGTTATCTATTATCCATATTGCCCAAGTTTTAAACATAGCAATTATTATTTCTCAATTGGGCATAGAGAATTAATGGTACATGGATTCATTAGTTTATAAATTTTCTACTTAAATACTTGTTAGTATTCACATGCCTTCTTTTAAATATCACATTTTTATATTTTCTTTTAGTACACCCCATAAAGATAAAGTGATCTCTTGCATCTGTAAAAGCACATAATCAACTCTCTATATGACTAAAGGAATCATACCCACCGCTGCTTGTTCGAGTGGTGAAGAGCCGGCTGGGCAAAACCTAGATCCCTGGTTCGAATCCCTTGGCAAATAGTGAAAGCCTTAAGTATTGGCCAATGTAAATTGGTTTGGGTTGCATGCTAGGTCGACCGGGATTTTCATTGACCTAAAGACTGCTTCCTCGTCACAAAAAAAAAAAAAAAAAAAAAAAAAAAAAAAAAAAAAAAAAAACTAAAGGAATCATCATTTTCCTTCTCCTCGCTGACATGGGTACCATATTCACTTCCTTCATATAAATAAATCTTTAATTGTAAACACTTCTTTGGATGTTCAACTTAGCATCATAGGGGATTTCTCTCTAAGAATTTTAACTTCATAACCTCAATGAGAATAGGCTCATGATAACAAAATTACTGCACTGTGAAACCCAAACATATAATTATATAACCTTTTCAAAACCTATTTGAACTCTATTTAATTAATATTTTTATCCAACAAACAAATGTAGTGGGATGACTAAAAGGGATGACTAAGGCTTCGTTTGAGACGGCTTTCTTACTGCTTCTTAAAACAACTTTTTAGTACAAAAAATTATAATTTTTGTACTAAAAAGCTACTTTAAGAAGCAGCAAAAAAGCCGTCACAAACGAACCCTAAATGTATTACACAAATGGAGCAATCAATACTTGCTAATTAATTTTTGGACCCAACAAATAGATATTATACTGGCCTACCAAGAAGAAAACCAAAAAAAGAGCAATAAAATAAAATCTTCAATGTGGAATAAAAAATGTGGGATGACTGAAAGATGTATAGTTACAAGCATAATAAGTGGCTTATCATCTTGCTGCTGCCGTAACAATTTTTACTTTACTCCTCTTATTATTGCAAAAATATTTTTACTACTTCGATCAATTATAATTTTTGAATTTATGCCATTGAATATAATAATATATTATTTGTCAAATGTTCTATTATATATGGTGTGATCGCACTCTATTATATCGACCTCATGGTCTGATATGTTTCAACTAGGGGTACGACTCATTAACGAGCTTGCGAGTCGAGCTTATCAAGTCACGAGTTCGAGCTCAAGCCTATACTCGAGCTCGCATATTAAACGAGCTCGGCCTGACTCGACTTGAAAGCTTGTTAAGCCGCTCGATCAAATTAAAATATATTTAATAAGTAATTTAAATTAATATTACATAATTATTTTATTTTAAATTAATTCTTCATTTAAAAAATAAAAAATCTAAAAAAAAACTGTTTTTTTTTTTAAAATTTAAAACTAAGAAATCAAGCTCAACGATCGAGTCCAGCTTGAGCTTTCTAAATGAGTTCGAGCAATTGAGTTGAGCTTGAGTCAATGAATTTCTCAACGAGTAGAGCTCGAGCTTAGTAAATGAGCTCGAGTTGAGCTAGAGCTCAATAACAGTTAAACAAATTTAGCTCGATTTGGCAGATACTCAACTCGACTAAACTCATTTACACCCCTAATTTCAACTATTGGATAGAACACTCTATGAACTTCATTCAAATCTTATTTGAACAATTTAAAAGCATTTTCAAAACATATCTGAATCTTTAAAAGGATAATATTTTGATTCAAAGTGTACTTTAAAACTAATTTATGAAGAAATGGAAGGGCATTATATCACAAAGTCAAACTTTCTAAACAAAATGGATAAGAACTACGGTACCTTTAATAAAAATCGAATTAAATAAAGACTGTGATAAAATATTTCTGGTCGGGAGGGCTCCGATGGTCAGCTCCATTCGCCATATTTCACTCAACTTCTTCCTCCGACAGATCTCCTAACACATGGAACCCGAAGCTGATCACCACCATCACCACGGCGATCACAACCATACTCACGAGTATGTCCACTCCATTTACTCCGCTTTCTCATATTGTTCCATTGGTCTGTTAACCAAGCCTCGTCGTTCTCTTCTCGTGTCCGTTTGGTTGCAGCGGACGGCATGAAGACGGCTCGTCGTCCTGGGTGGGGCCGGACGGTAGGATTTACCACTCGCACGATGGGCTTGCACCCCATTCTCACGAGCCGATTGATTCACCTGGTCTCTTCGGTGCTCGCGCGCCGCCGCTGGGCACCAGAGACTTCAGAGAGCGCGCGTTCACCGTCGGCATTGGTGGCCCTGTCGGCACTGGGTACACACTTCCTTTTCTTTTCTCATGGTATCGTATTAATGTCTGCTTTGACATATGATTTCTTTTTAACTGTTTGATAGAAACCTGGATTTAAACAAATTTGGATTTAGTAAATAGTGAAATCCGGATTTAGAAATTCTTGGAAGGGTTAGGTCTAGAAAATTATCTGATTATTAATATCTTTATTCCGAGTTAAACCCTGAAACTTTTTTGGTTACAAGTAAGATGTCTAACTAAATTCTTAGTTCTTGCAGCCTCAACTCCTTGGCATGATTTCAAATTTAATGATTTTGTTTTTACACGAAAAATACTGAAAATGAATTCATGATTTTATAAAAATATGTATGTTTCTACCTACAATCAACAAAATGGGTCCTTTGAGAAGGATTGACATCTCTTTTGTAAGTTCTAAATCTTTATAATCTGTTTTAATGCTGTTTCCTTCTTTCCAGTAAAACGGCTTTAATGTTAGCACTATGCCAGCATCTCCGTGATAAGTACAGTCTTGCAGCAGTATGTATCTTTTACCCCGTCCTCAAATTTTCCTTAAAATTATCTTTTTAATGTTTCTGCCCCACATTCTATAAAGTCACTTCTTTGGAAACTCCATAAGCTATTGTTTCTTGATAAATTTACTGGATTTAGTATCCACTTTAATATCCTAGAATTGCATTATATGCATCCGGTTTCTGTGCCATTGTTAGGCTTAAAATGTTCCTATGATTTATATACTGGTCTTGCAAATTGTCTTATTTTGTCTACTTGTTTAGAAGTGAAGCCACGTCTAGGTTTGTGTAAATGGATTCAGACATTCCTTGCGTTTAAATTTTTTTGTAATTCATTTTGTTTTAACATGTACCATTATTTTATTGGTTTCTATTAGCAAGTAATGGTTGAATGTAATGTAAAGTGAAAGTTCAACTATTAATAATATCATATTGTATGCCTTCTTAAGCTGACACATGATATCATGAAACATAATCCTAATGCCATTTGAATCATTATTCACTATCACGAATAAGACTTTCATGGCGCAGAACTCAAAGTTCATAATAATCATCGGACATATAAACTCATTGAGTTTTCAAAATCTTTCTTATAGTGAAGTGCTTTGGAGTCCGTTTTAGATTAGTTGTGTCTCGGTAGAGTTGCAATTAGGTTTCTAATACTCAATTTAATATCAACAAAATATGCTATATGATATCCCCATATTAAGGTACATTTGGTTGATCATATCTTAAGGTGAAAAATATCATAGGTTAGGATAGAAGGTGTCATACCTAAGGGACACAACATTTCAAGTTAAATATGAAAAACGAGAAAGAAAACTGTCCAGCTTGACTCGGAGTGTTGCGGAGCTGGGATTTGGAGAGTAGCAACGCTCTACTCTCTGTCTCTAGCCTAACTGACAGCATTGTAATACCAAGATTTAGAGCTTCACAGTGTCGTACCGGTTAAATGAAAAAAAAAAAAAAATCAGGGGCAAGGCCCCTGAACCTAAACCAGGGGGAGGCTCCCTTGCAACCACCGACGAGCTCGACTAATGGAATTAAACAATTTTGCTCATCATATGCATGACATGCATGATGAGAGACTGGTGGGATTAGAAGATCTTGCTCATCATATGCATGGCCTGCAATGAAAATATTAATTAGAATCTTTTTTTAATCGTTTCAATTACAAATTCTGTTGTCAATGTTCATAAAAGATACTTTAAATTGAAAGAAGTTTTACAGTGAATGTTCACCCAATGCGATTCACTAGGGGAACTCAAAAGACATTTTTTTCCGAGGAGAGTTACATATTAAACTTTCTAGCAATTTGGGATGAATGCTTGTTAGTTTGAAATCATAAATGCTGTGGTTTGAATCCAATTTTAAAGTAGCTAATTTGACTTTTTACCATGAATCTTCTATAAATTTTGCCTCTCTTCTTCTAACTCTTCGGTCTTCACAACAACAATCTCATCCCTACGTCGTCAATTACATAACTAATATTAACCCATTGATCAACATCTAAAAGCTCTTCTTGGTGAGGAATTTGTGACTACTACAAAAGGTGGTCACCATTGGTTTCTTGCCAATGGAAGGGTAGACCTTCATGTTATGATTCTTGCGTATTGGAAGAGCCTAAACACTTTTGTTGTTAACAATAACATTCACCCTAGTCAAATTCTTCCAAATGGGGATGGTTGGCCCTGAGCTCAAAGTTTGCAGTACAAACTCATTTCTTTGCATTGTTTTTCCTTGTTGGGATGAATTTGTTACATCTTGTGTTTATATTTGAGTCCTAAAGAGTTTTATTTGAGCTTTTGGCATTTAGTCTACAAGCAGTTGACCATACTATGTAATAATTCCATAAATTGTAACTTATAGTTCAAAATATTGTATAATATGTCAAAAATATGCCAATCTCGCTATCGTTTGGGTTTGAAATTAAGGTACATTCTTTGAATTGTAGCTCATGTCAATCATTGTGAAATACCCAAATAATTCATGTATGTTAAGATTAAAAGCCCAACTATCAATCTTGGGACTGCAAGATATGCTGAACTAACTACATTGTAAGATGTGACAACAAATCTCATGTTTTATGTTCCAAACTCCAAGTTTATACATAGATATTATATGTTATTTTATAACTAAAGTGTCGTGCAATTAGTCCAACAGATGGCATGTTACCCGGGATGTTACCCTAATAACCAGGTTTTGAAAAACGTAGGTCTGTTATGTGATTGTTATTACTTTTTATATTCTACATTGCTCCACCTCCAAATATTTTTTCGCTATCAATTAATAATACTTCTTTGGTTGTAAAATTCTCTTCTTTTTTAGTGTGATATGAATTGTTTTAGGATAAAGACCTTCGCATTAGTATAACAAAGATTGATTGTATGATAATGTATGTTTGATGCGTATCAATCTTCATTCAATATTATTGGAAGATGAGATAATAGCTAAGAGTGATATATTGAAGTATCTTTGATCTATTATACAAAAGAATATTTATATAAATGAAATAACTTGTAGAGTTAAGGCTGGATGGTGCAAATAGAGGGCTGTCTCGAGAGTTTGTGTGATAGGAGTATCATGGAGGCTTAAAGGTAATTTTAATAGAATCACCTTTAGGTTAACAAGCTGTATGGATCCAAATGTTATGTTGCAAAAGTTATTGATGTCTTAGTTGAGTGTGACAAAAATGAAAATGCTCAGATGGCTGTGGTAAAACTAGGAATGATTATGTTAAAGGAATACTTGAGTGGTATTTGTTGTTCATAAGATGGCTGAAAATGGATTGGTTTTGACATGGACAATTAAGGGCAGAAAACTTCTCTATCAGACTAGTTAATAATAAAATCATTGTTAGAGGATTATCATGGAAATAAGGTTAGAACTAAGGTTATATGTATAGAAATTATTTAAGAATATATTTTGCACCTCAAACAACACTAAGCACGAACAAATAAAAAATGAACATTCATAGTACTGTTCTTAGATAGTTGCGATAAAGTTAATGTTGATGATGACTTGAATTATTTTGGGAGGTGATGTCCTTGTTCAGGTTCATGACAAGTGATTTGACTTCTTATTTCTTTATTCATCCTACTCTTCTTTGCTTCTTTTATATTTACTTATTGGCTTCCGAGAGCAATTGAATTTTTTCTGGACCTAGCACGGACACATGTATAATTCCATCACGGAAATATATTTTTTGCAGTAGGTCTAGTCATGCAAATAAATGACATCACATCTCATTATTTCCACTAAAAGAAGCTAGGGGCATCTGGTTTATCACCTTGTAGATTGCCATCCAGTTATTGATATTGTACCAACATGCATTGTGGGCACATGGAAGTTTATTTGTTGCATAAATGTTACTTATAGCTGCAATTCGTTTCTGAGAAATCTTTCCCGCCTTCTTAGGTGACAAATGACATATTCACTAAAGAGGACGGAGAGTTCTTAGTGAAGAATGGAGCACTTCCTGAGGAGAGGATTCGTGCTGTTGAGACGGGAGGCTGTCCGCATGCAGCTATACGTGAGGATATAAGCATTAATCTGGGCCCACTGGAGGAGCTGTCCAACTTATATAAAGCAGACCTCCTACTCTGTGAATCAGGGGGAGGTGCACACTGCCACACATTCAATTTTTAGTTTTGCCTCATTTATTTTATCTGATAAACAAGTGCTCTGGGCATGAATGCAAGAAAATTGCCTCGTTTGATTGCAATTGTGAGTTGTCCACATCACACAATGGATATATCATATCTATACGGTATAGTAAAATAAAATGAATTCAGGAGACAATATGTATGCTTATCAAATAGATTAATCAGTGTAAAATTATTGGACAATTCAATTTATTCAAAGATGACAATGCAATAGGTTTTGAAACATTTATTTTGTATGGTAGTAATATGAATAAGAGATAACTATATCAAGTATTGTCTTATCTCTCTCATTTTTATATAACACATATGTCACATGAGCCCCATTTAAATTATATCATTTAAGATAATGAAAAATGAAAATATCCTATTTATCTTCTATATTTAAGAGAGAGAGAGAGAGAGAGAGAGAGAGAGAGAGAGAGAGAGAGAGAGTGACGTAAGTTTTGTGGCAGGATGTGAGGGAGCTTTAACCAGTTTTAACTTAAATTCACTGCGGAAATCTCAGAGAATCTCAAATCCAGTTTCTCTCACGTTTACCATAAATCTAGGTTTAATTCATACGTTTATGCATGCACTTCTTTCTTTTACACGTCGATGATGTCGTCGATGCCTATTTTGCAAACTCCCATCACGACCTCCTCGTTTCTTTGTGTCTAGGGTTTCCGGATAGGAACTAAAGAAGAGAGACAAGCAGGAGGTGGAAGAGCAGACAAGGGGTTCAACACGCGAGGGGTTCTTATGCGTAAAGAAGTGTGGAGAGCGGGAGGATTAGGGTATTCGGCTTGTAGTTCTTGAGAGAAAATGAGAGGGCGATGTGGGGGAAGCCGTGGGTAGGTCTTGAGCATGATTATTATTATTATTATTATTTTCTTTTTTATTTAGAGGTCAATGAGGTTACTCCCCAATCAAAATGCTGTGCTAAGAAAGTTTTGCTCATTTTGGGGACTGGCCTTCCGCTAGATGAGTACAAGGGAGGGCCTAGATGCAATGATGCTCATATTGTGCACTTATATGAATTGAATTCAATTTCAATGTTGAGGGCTCCTTATTTGCTAGCAAGAGGTTCCTATTAAACCCCTCACCATTTGCAATAGAGCAATCCCTTCATTTGCTCCATAAAATTGCTGACGCTTGGTGATAAAATTAGTTGGATCCATGAACGCATCAAATAATTGAGGGCATAATTCGTAGAACTCTTGCAACACGCAATGAGAATGAATGGGGAGTGAGAATTCATGAAGCTTATGATACATATTGGGATGAAGCTAATAGAGATGCAGATGATGATAGGACTGTATGGAGGACCAACTCTTTGGGGCCTAATTGCAATACATTCTGATGTGATGAAATTATTTAACTGTATGGTATACTTTTATAATGTAAGCTTATTTTCCTTTTCTCTTTGACCCAAGTTACAAAAAGGCCAATCGAGTAATGGTGAAGGCATATCTAATTAGCAACTGTAATGATTCTTTCATTTTTAAATTTGCATCACGTTTTGATTTTTTATATGATTTAAGTTCTTGTTCGCATAAGTTTCTCATTTATGACATCCTTCTTTCTGGTGTTATTTAAACTATCCACATCAATTTGAGTAGGCTCATTTTTATAAGATATAACATGCTTGTGCAGATAATTTGGCCGCTAATTTCAGCAGAGAATTAGCAGATTATATCATATATATAATTGATGTTTCTGGTGGTGATAAAATACCTAGAAAAGGTGGCCCTGGAATAACCCAAGCAGATCTTTTGGTACGCATCTACTACTTTTCATCATCTTTTTGGTTTCGATATTATCACTATTTTTTATATTATTTATATTCTTGTTGACAATCATAACTTCTCTCAAAATTTTCTTTCTTTAATGTGCTTGAAGACTGAGCGGACTAAATTTTGATTTCCAGGTTATAAACAAGACTGACCTTGCACTAGCAGTGGGGGCTGACTTGGCTGTTATGGAACGAGATGCACTTCGAATGCGGGATGGAGGCCCTCTTGTGTTTGCTCAGGTTTGATGAACATCTGCCCTTGAGTGCAAAATATTTTTTTTTCAAATTCGTATCTCATTGGATTAGGTTATTTGACTTTTTTTTTTTGTGTCAAGGTGCAAGTTTTTATCTTTATTGATTAATATTAAGATCGTTAACATCTAAAACATCACGGGTTAATTATTGCTTGTCTCGTTTGTCTAGCATTCATTTTATTATTCATAGTCATGTCTCTTTAGGGACATTAACTTAATGCTGCTAATGGTGGAAATTTAAATAGTTGAAGTAGTAGCAAAAATTATTAATGACGTGATCATTGGACAACTGCTAACCAGATATATTTGGTGTTTCGAGACAAGGTTAGAGAAATGCTGTTAATTTAGGCTTTGTTTGGGACAACTTTCGTACTGTTTTTTAAAACTATTTTTTAATACAAAAATTTTAAATTCAAAAAATTTTTGTTCAAAAAAGCTATTTTAGAAAGCAAGAAGAAAGCCGACGTCCCAAACGAAGCCTTAATCTTGTTATAACCATTAATACTAGTTTTTGTTTGCTTGATAAGCCTGCCTAATAATGTTAGCAAGTTCTGTTCTAATACCTTTGCATAACATAATCATCCAGGAGATGATCTAAGCAGCTTCTACTAAAGCATCAAAATAACCTAATTATGTCATTGTTCATCATTAGTTGTAAGGTATAATAGTAGATAGCAAGTTACACAAAGTTCTAGTAGTTGACACAATAATGTGAAATGACCGGGCAATCTTTTACCCTCAAATTGTAATATATGGCGATCCTAATTTTTTATATAGAAACAGATGTACAAATTGTCAAGAGCAAGGCTTAGCACCACGTTTGCTAGACCAGTTTGTTGGATGACGAACATCTTTCATGAATGCTTTGGAAAATTAACGACCATTTAATTGTTAAAAGGGCTTGAATAAATGGTCAAAAGGACCATGGAATATTACTGCTTACATGTGCGAGGAGGAATGGCCTGGTCCCATTATGAAGCGTTTAGGTAGAATCAAGATGGAGGTGAATTGGGTTGATAAAAGAACCTTTTGAAATAATTGAATTTTTATAAACAAATGACCCTTAGTAGAATATAACATAATATTTATAATATAATAGTAAATAGTAAGATAGCAAGAAGAAGAAAGAGAAACCAATTTTTTAGAGTAGGTTTCTCACCGTGAATTGCACTGACATGGCAATCAATAAACGTTGTGCAACTCAGCATGTGGGTTCAGGTGGGCTACGTGCTTACACGCAAATCAATGACTACTGGTGCAGGAGGCTGTTTGACTTTGAGAAATGGGCATTTTCCTTTTATAAATCCACTTTCCATTTTCTCACGTTGCTTCTTTTTCCACTCCTCCTTTACTATCTTTTTCAAAAGCTCATCGCCATATACCATTCTCAATCAAAGCCACTATCTCCTTGCCATGTTAGTTGGTGGATCTGATCTGACTTGATTTTAGAAAAGAAAGTTTCAGTTCACCTCAGTTCCTTGGGTTTGGTGATTCCACCCATAACTGGGAAGGCACTGCGTTTTACTCTTCAAACAAGGTGTTAAAAGAAAGAGAAACTATTCCGTGCGGAGTCCGGACAGTAAAGAACTGTCCGGATGTGAGTGTACACAATGTTTGTACACAGTGTATAAAAAAATCAAATTGTGTACAAAATTATTATCAGTGTACGCACTGTGTACACTCACATCCGGACGGTTCTTTACCGTCCGGACTCCGCACGGAATAATTTCCCTAAAAGAAGAGTGTGATACCATCTAGAAACTAGCTTAACATTTAAAAGGTATTGATCCTTCTCATAGTCCTTTCCCTGTCTTATCTAGGTCTTAGAAGGGAAAAGAAAAGGAAAACAAGAAAAATATCATGTTTATATTATTATTTTTTAAAGAAAAAGGTCAAAATGATTAGACAATTTATATGGGGTCATTTTAGTCCTAACTATTTGCTGCGTTTAATTTAGTCTCTTGACTTCTCAAATATGATCTAAAATTGCCCTTACGTTGAATTATTTTGGATCATATTTAAGGAGTCAAGCTAATATTTTGGATCAGATCTGAGAAGTCAAGGGACTAAGTAGGACATATGCAAAAGACGATACAAATATAAAAATCATGTATCACTATGAGTTGTGGTCTTCACATCATCACACCAATTTATATCATATCAGAATCATATTAGTTCATATCAAATCATGTATCATCATAAGGGGTGTTCTTTACATCACTTCATATCATATAAGAATCATATCCAAAGATTATTCTTCTCTTATTGTTTCTTTGGTTGAATTTGACAGACATAAGTCGTGAGTTTGGATTAGTTTATGCTGCAGATACTTGCAACTTTGAAAGTATGCCATTTATCACTTCATGTTGTTACCCTGATATCTAATACAGGTGAAACATGGAGTTGGAGTAGGGGAGATTGTGAGCCATATAATAGGAGCATGGGAGCAATCAACAGGGAGGAAGCGTCATTAATATGAATATCAGAACAAGGTCATAAGCCATAATCATGCTTGTTCACAATTTGCTGCATTTCTGCTTAGTCATGTAGTTTTTCATTGATGACTGCATGCACATTGTACCAATAAAACTTCAATGAGTGTTTAGGTTGTTTCTGATACTGATGGATAGATCCTATGTTATGATATATTGCACTAATTACTGCTACTGAGAAGTTATTTGGAGTACGAGCTTATTTCAAAAACTAAAAATTTTACTGATGCTGATGCTATTTGAGATTATTGAAGAACGCTTCATGTTGACAGAAACATCTTTTAAGAAATAAATTTGCATTTGCATTTTGATACCATTATATTATCTTCTGACCTAAGCCAGTCGACTTACTTCTTGTTAAGTTAGTTTTTGGCCCCTTTAAACTAATATCCAATTCCTAGATTTTACAATCCACACATGAAGTAATAAATGCTTGGCTGTGGGTTTTTTGGGGTACATTTAGACTAATTAATTCAAACTTACACACACATCACATACACGAGACTTGAACCCAAGACATTTTGGTTGGTAGTCAAAGCTCCCAACTAACGATCAAGGTGAGTTGGGTGTTGCAATGAAAGTGCCTAAGACATCTATTTGACAGCGCCAAGGCGACCATTGGTTTACCTTTGAGAAATAAACAAGCTTTGCATAGTCAATTATGATATGGATATAATTAAATAACGCAAAGATGTATTAAGATTTATGTGGTTCTAATGCAACCCGCGCGTCTTGATTTGGTGGTTGGGAGCTTATGCTACCAACTAAGCAATTTTGTGTTCAAAGCTTGCATATATGATTTATGTGTGAGTTTGTATTTAATTCGTTCAAAAGTCCCAAAAAAATTATGGTATGAATTGGTCCAGTTTTAGGATAGTTGATTCTTAAGTTCATTTTATCCTAATAAGTCTTTATATATAGAGAGGTTGTAATAGGATTTTATACTCCAGGCCAAACAAAAATAAGATAAGTTTTTGTTCTATCTCTAACTCCTCTCTTCCTGCCCCCCCCCCCTCTCCTCTCTCTCTCTCTCTCACATACGAAGAAGAACAGAAGCCTCAAGAAATCCCAACAAACTGATATTAGAACTAGGTGGAGGTGGAAAAAGGTTTTCGCAGGTTGGAGGCTGTGCGGTTCAATCCCGTGTGCTAGTAGCGGAGGTGACAGGTTGGTAGGGTCCCATACCAGATCAGAGAGGAGCATGCAGGAAGAATAGACAAGGTCTTGTTTATAGAAGGGGGAACGATCCGACATCCAAAACATGCAGCGGGTGAACAGGCAGGCTTACGCGTGGGTGATCACGATTGACGGGCCGGAGTCGGAAGGGCCACAAGATTGCGGGGTCGAGTCGCTCGTGCAGGGAGGCTAAAGGTTGGGACGGACGCTATGCAGGCAAGGCGCATGAGGAGCTGTACATGAGGCAAGGGACCAGGTCGCAGGACGCGCACTGGTCTCATGATTGAACCACGCGCACGTGCTCGTGAGTGCGGAGTGGAGGCAAGAGGCGGACAGGGCCCAAGTGGATACGTGTAGGGTGCAGTCAGAGTCAGACTGCATGAGCGTATGCAGACATTGGTGAGGGGCAGAAGTAGGGTGAGGGGCGGACGTTGTGAGGGCAAGGAGTACGACCTGTACGAATGCAAGTGATCACGTGCACGGAAGTGGAGAGCAGCCGCTGCGCCGGATGTGGGTGTTGTGGATCAGATGCAAGGCTTTTGAGAGAGAGAGAGAGAGAGAGAGTAATCTGAACGAAACAGAGCTTAGGTTTGGACGATCGGTGCCGGATTTGTCGGAGCGGATGTATGGCATTTGGTTGAGTCTCGGTATGCCGAGGAGGATCGTAGCAAGAGTAAAATGAATTTGTTTTTCTGTGTAAAATATGGATCAAGATGGAGATTGTTAGGGATTGATTCGGTTTTAAACGACAATGAGAAAACACATGATTCACTATCAAATGTTATGTCATAGTATAAAATTGAGAAGAGTGATAAAATAAATCAAATTCTCTTTGCATGAAGCTATTAAAAGAGATGGGTAAGGTCTCATTGAAATGTCGGTGAATAACTTAAAGAAAAAGGCCTAAGTGAGAAAGGTTAATTTCGTCACACATAAAATCTCATGAATAAGAAGGATATCTCTAGTTTTCGCTCTCAATCAATAAAATTGCCTTGCCCTAATCTCCTCTGCATCTCTATGAGGTTGCAACTCCCAATCTGTTATGAGTCTGTGAATTTGGATCATGATTATCCTTAATAATAGGATGATTATGAGGAGCTAGTACTTCAGCTGGATTTGAAATAATGATCTTGCATGCATACGAGGGGCTGACAACCTTCTTTCAGTTAAGAACATCTAGGGAAGGTTTTGATTCCAAGGCTAGATTTAAAGTTGGTTCTAAGTTTTATTTACAAATGAAATAAAAATAGGACTTTTGACAATGAGTAGATATTGATCATTTGACTCCTAAAACCAAAGTGCTAGAATCAATAGAAGTTTCTTTTCTTAATTGTATTACAAAATAATACATTTTTACTTGGATCCAGAAGAACCTGACTCTACTCTTTGCTGCCTTTTCCTGAAACGTTAGAGAAATTTATAAAATGAGCATAATTATCTCATTAGACTTTTTCCCATAGCTCCTCATAAATATCAATACCCAAATTAAAATATTAAATAACAGTTTAATTAAAAATACAATGAATTGTAAAGAATGAATAAAATGCTAGTAAAATATGATTTTCTAGGGTTCAATATATATTTGATTTCAAAGTTCTTACTTATACCTGTAAAATCACTTTCACAGAGATTTCAGATACATCTCAGAATCTGTTATCAAAGGTTCACTTATATTTGACTTTCACATTTCATCAGGGTTCATACAAAGATTTAAAATTTTTTCTAACATTCAGTTCAAAATATTACTTATATTTGATTTCTTAGAGTATTAACATATGCAATATAATGATTATAATGCACATGTCTCAATGTCTACTTATAACTCTACTTTCACTTTTGTCTCCCTTTAACATTCCACACCTATATATAGCAAGTGGGGTTAAGTTAGAACAAAATAGTGCCATATACTCCCCCACACCCGCTTCAGCAAGTGAGATCATAATCCTTCTCACATCCACATTAGGTAGATGAGGTTATAACAAAATATAGACATCCTTTACAACAATACAGAGTGCACTTTTTATATATTGGAGCTTCTCAAATGCCATGCTATGGTTAGTGCAAATGTAAATGTAACAATAGTTAATTATGATGTTAATGCAATACTTGGATGATGTGTGAATTGTCAGAACTATCAATAGAAGCCACATTGTATATATAACATTATACTAAGTAAATTCTTTTCATTCAAATTCTAACTTTAAAGGATATTCACATGAACTTTTTAACTATTTTATATAACTATTGCAATTGTCAGAAAAACTTTAATCAACTTATATGCTAAAAAATTTGCATAGGAAAAATTAATCTATAAAAATCTAATTTTATTTAGCCAAAATGTTCGAAATAAAGCATACAACAACATACATAAAAGTTATGTGATGAAAATGTCATAAAATTCAAAAAAAAAAAATTATCTATATCTTTTATAAAACTATTTGAATTGTAATCAGATATAAGAGTTCAGAAGTCTATCACGTGCTCTACAATATCCCGAGCAGCCGACAAATGATTTCAACTTCCTACATCTGAAACGTCTCGCTTCCTTTCATCTTCTCTTCTCCTCTCCCTTCTCTCCTGCTCTTCTCAAAGGGCTGGGGTGAGGTGATTAGCAAATGATTTAAGATATTTTATATAAAAAATCATCATTTTGATCCAGTGTCACGATGCTCACCTTCATAGTACCTTTGTGCTAACAAAAAATCTTTGAGATTCTCCTAGAATCTCAACATCTGAGGAATTGGCGCCGCCACCCAATGCCACAGTGCACCTCAATTTATCCTCTCCATCCAAGAGCTCAATGTTGTGGAGCTGCACATCCTAATGTTGCGGCGTTCTCAAAGAAAGTTTAATGAATTAAAAAATCTACTTCCTTGCTTACTTAAGGGTTCATTAGACATTCTGAGACTGATAATTATCAATTAGATTAAAATTAATCAAGTATTAATAGTGATTACCTGGGTTTCTATTTCACTTGATGCTTAATCTTGTTGGAAAATGAGAAATTAGGGGGAAAGTTGACAACTTTAAGGGTGCATGCAGGACGTTTTGCGCGCATGGATGATGCTATCATGAGGTTACTTACCAGGCTTGTGCATGGGAGTGGACTTGGTCAGTCTAGCCCGATCTTTTTGTTTTAAATACATATTTATAACTATGAAATGATGTTAGTATAATGAGGTCAGTTAATAAGAATTGTCAGAGGAAAAGGAAAAATATACAAGACAAATGAAAGATAACATGAAGATCATTCATCCCTTATAACTTGAAAACCAATCAACTAGATCATTCTGCTTAAAGCTGGGATAGGACCCAAGGAAAAGTTGCCAACTAGAGAAAATAATAGTTGAGCAAGCTCTTATATCTCATAATCAGAAATTTGTCATGGAAAGTAGAAGCTTGCTTATACGAAGGTGGTTCTAAGTTTTGATGAAACGGTAATTGGAATTGGGAGTTGGGAGGAAGGAGAGGAATGTGATGATATCGGCAACCCACTCAGCACATTTACAAAAGAATGAGATTTGCAAGTAGCATGATGAAGGCTTTGTTTGGAACGGTTTTTTTATTGCTTTTTAAAACAGCTTCTTAGTACAAAAATTTAAATTTTTATATTAAGAAGCCACTTTAAAAAGCTGTAATAAAGTCACCCCAAATGAAGACGAAGATCATTTGAGATGATTGGATTGACTGCAGTAGGAAGCGGTGATGGTATTTGAATAGGAGAGCCATCAAAATCATAGGACCCAATAAAGTGGGAGATTATTGAGCATGGATTGGGCGCGATGGAAGGGGAAGTCAAATAGGGCATCCCAATACAGGTGACAATATGAGAGGAACATTCCACATGTAAAAGGAGATAAAAATTAATGGAAAAAGCTGTGATTAAATGTAGTGGCTCGTGTGAGGTGCGAGGGCCCATGAATGAGCTCCCCACACGTGCTCGAGCACTGGGAGCAGCAGGGAAGGTGGAGTTTTAGGGGCCGAGTGTGTTGCATTAAGTAAAGGATCTCATTTTCATGCAACATCTTCATTCTCTAAACCACATTTTCTATGTACAATCAAATAAGCCCTTCAGTGAAAATTCTTTGCTGCAAGTGCAAAAAAGAAGTTGCATTTAAAAGACTGTTCTATGTTCTTATTTCCTCCAAAGTTTTTGATAGGCCGGTTCAGGATGAACCGGCCCAAGAGGTAGCCCAGAGGCCGGCTTAGTACTACAAGAGGCAGAACAAGGGGTTCCACCCCCTTTGATTCCGCCAAGTGGTGGGGCCCGCGTGGAAAAATTGGGAAGGAGTGGGCTGCTAGGGGAGAGGGAATTTTTGAATGAGAGAGATTTGAATTAGGTTTGTATTAGGAAACTAATTGTATTATGAGGGGGATTGGGCTAGGGTTAGTTTTCATGCTTTATTTTGTTCTTCTCTTGGATTTTCTTTGGCATCTTGTCTAGAGATTGGGAGAGAACGATCCTCCTCTCGAATTGGAGATCACATGTATCTTACTTTCGTGTTTGTTTTGCTTTGTTTCCCTTATTGCAATCTATCGTTTTGGGGCTGATTTTGCCTAGATTTTGCTTATTTCTTGCTGTTTTCCTCCAATTAGTGATAGGTTTGCTTGCGAACTCAAGTATTCCCTTAGGGTTACTTGCGAACTCAAGTATTTCCTATCAGTTTTTTAGCCATATCTCTTCTTGTACTTGAATTAGATAAATCGATTTCGTTTGGGACAACTTTTTTCTATTATTGGGAAATTTACATACATACCACTTTATAACATCCTATTTACATATCTAACACCTAAAACTTTAATATTACATACATACCACCATATACTATTTTAATATTAAATATGCCACTCATATTTCCTTCCTACCACTCATATATTTCATTTCTACCAGTCATATTTGATATAAAAAATGAACTATGGGTGGTATGTATGTAATATTAAAGTTTTAGGTGTTAAATATATAAATAGAATAGTATAGAGTGGTATGTATGTATGTAAATCTCCCATTTAGTTTAAAGAAAACTTTGTAGTAAAAAGTTGCTTTAAAAAAATAATAAGAAAGTTATTCCAGATGAATTCTTACGCTTCATTTGGGACAGTTTTTTTATTGATTCTTAAAGCAGCTTTTAGCATAAAAATGCTGCTTTAAGTTGCAAGAAAGTCGTCCGAAACGAAGTCTTAATTTGCAATTAGGATTTATGATCTATAATTTCTGGATGAAACATGTGTGCCAGTTTCCATCCTGAGGACAAAATCATAGCTGAGATAGAAGGATGCGATGGATATGCTGGCAATGAAAGATTTGACTTTTATTTTACAGCAGATCCTGCAGCCCATCATATATCCCACATGCTTCTCTTTAGCTACTGTGGCTCACAGTCATCTAACATTACTGAAAGGTGAACCAAAGCTATCAGAAAGAAGAGAAAAAAAAAAGGTAAACGGAAACATATATGATAGTCACCATAATTAGCTATTGCCCACATGGTTTCTATTTTTTCTAAAAGGCTACTTAGATTAGAAGTTTTGGTTGGCAAGTTTTCATGGAAGAAGGTGGAGTAAAATCTAATAATTTATGGGCTGATTATAATGAAAAACTCTTTTAGGTTTCGTTAGGGACGGCTTTCTTACTTTTTAAAGCAGCATTTTAGTATAAAAATTAAAATTTTTGCACTAAAAAGCTGCTTTAAGAAGCAGTAAAAAAGTTGTCCCAAATAAGAGCGGCTTTTTTAATGCTTTCTAAAGCAGCTTTCTTATAAAAATGTTTCTAGCTCAAAAATTTTTTTACTAGAAAACTGCTTTAGAAAATAGTAAAAAAGTTATCCCAAATGAAACCTTAAACTTGGCCTAAGGGCCTGATTTGTTTCCGAGAAGACTATCACAATTTTGATTGGCTATAATTTTTATGATAGAAAGTAGCTTTTTATAATCAAATATACTAGCATGTGATATCTACAAGAAAGTCCGTGATTGAATTTCTTAAGGAAAAAAGGTTTATAATATTCATAATTTAAAATTTTTCCCATAAATTAGCTATAACTCTTTTTCCATAAGAGTTGTTGCAAGTAGGTGTATAAGTGAGTCAAATCAACTAATTAGCTAGCTTAAGCTCGACTTGATAAATGGCTCGTGACACAAGCTCTATGAGCAAACGACTTGAGCTTGAACCAGTCACAACTTAACTCGGTAGCTTGTGAGTTATTTTTAAATATATTACTATCAAATACACTTACAACATATTAGAATTCTAGAGTTCAAGTATAAATCTATCATAAATATTTAAATATTATATCTCACTTTTCTATATGAAATAATTCCTTATTATTAGTCTTATAATTTATTATTCTTTTTTCTAATTTTGTTCATACCCTATAAGCAGCTATTCATCTGTTCATACCCTTTTTTATGCTTTTTTTTTTTTTTTAATATTTGGATCTCCTATACATAAGCTACCAACACTTGGGAACACAACAAATCAGATAAATCTCATCTCCAATCAAAACTCTCAAGTCTTTTCTCCAACCTCCTGTTATCCTCATCATCCCATCCATCCCTTCTGCCTTAAGATTTGGGCAGTTAAGTTGATGAATGGCTGATAAAGATGCAGGGAAATCTAATTAAATCATGTTACAATTTCTTTTGCCTCTTCAAAGCCAATGCAATGGCAAAATTACAATGGATGTTACAAGCCAAATAAAGTTTATGCAAATGTACACATATATGTATATATATATATAGAAGATTAATGCTTCGTTTGGGACAGCTTTCTTACCGCTTTATAAAACTACTTTTTAGTAAAAAAAATCTCTTGAAAACAGGAAAAAATAACGGTCTAAAGCTGTCCCAAACTAAGCCTAAATCTTAAAATGCGATCAATTTATTCTTCAAGTACTATATTTTTTCAATTTAGCCCCTCAATTATATAAAATTGATCCCAATTTGACCGTAAAAGCACTATTTTGGATTAATTTTATACATTCAGATGGCTAAATTGAATAAATATAATACTCCGAGATTAAATTAATTACATACGAATAATTTAGAGATTATATAGCAATAGAGAGAAGAAATGAAATGAAGCTAAGGCATGGAGGGCAGATCTTTGTTGTTGGTGTGTCTTGTAGAATTATTGATCAATTGAATATCACTGGGAGAGATTTGTTCATCTCCAAGAATGACTCCTTGCTTCTTGATATAATCCCATCTGTCTTGCAGAAGATATATAAAGGCAATGATCACTAATTGGGCAGTGAAGAGAAGAGTCCAAATCCTCAGGCTTTTTGATGTCTTCTTCTCATATGCATTCAACCCAAAGTAAATATTTATGATTCCTATGATGGAAATAGCAGTTCCAAGCAGCCAGTGAGTTGTGTACCATATGCTCCTAAGCTTCACTCCTCTAAGAAAATCATGTAAAAGCTATTAAGATAAAGATTAGAAAGTGATTAAGTTTGAGATTAAGGCTTCATTGGGGACAGCTTTCTTACTGCTTTTTAAAGCAATTTTTTAGAAAACATTAAGAAATATGTCACAAATGAAGCCTGATAAGGCAAGAAATAGTTTATTTTATAGTACATGGATATTTTGTTGTTAAATAGCCCAAAATAATATAAAAGGGGGATTTACCACTACTAATAATTCAGGCTTTCGCAGCACTTTTTAGGACCTACGTACTGCGGCACTTTTTAGGCTTTCTTACTGCTTCTTAAAGCGGTTTTTTAGTTAAAAAAATTTAATTTTTGTACTAAAAAGTCACTTTAAGAAGCAGGAAGAAAGCCATCCCAAACGAAGCCTAAGGCTTTTATTGCTCTCCTTAAAACGGAGTTTTAGTTAAAAAATTTAATTAAAATTACATTTTAAGAAGTAATAAAAAAATCATCCCAAAGCCTAAGGCTTCATTCGAGATAACTTTCTTATTGTTTTTAAAGTAATTTTTTAGTAAAAACATTTTTTGTTTTAAAAAAAATTTGTACAAAAAAACTTTTCTAGAAAACAGTAAGAAATCTGTCTCAAACAAAGCCTAAAAAGTCAAGAAATAGTTTATGTTATAGTTCGAAAAACTAAAAATTTAAAAGAAAAAAAAAGGTAGATTGAGATAATAGAGGGAGCACGAGGGTGAGACGACCAATGGCGTGCGAAGGGATGAAGTTTAGGTGTTAAATATGTAAATCTTTATTTTTTTATATGCTATATATGTATGTAAATCCCCCTAATAGAGAACATATTTCATACTTAACCGCAAATGATTAGTTTAAACTATGTTGTAAATAGGTGATATTGCACAAACAAGACTAGTTAAACATTTTGCTTAAGTGGAATTATTGGCAACCAAACCGTTTAAATCACTGCTAATTAGGATTTGATTGATAAAGTTAGTTACCACAAATTACTTTTCAAGCTTATTTTTAATATATATATAATGCATTTCATAATTCTATGTGGGTCATTCTATATATTTAACTCATGATTATTGAATGCATCAAGCAAAAGCAGCCAATGAAAGACTAAAGGTTCGTTTAGGTTAACTTTCTTATTATTTTTTAAAATAGTTTTCTAATACAAAAACTTTTTGAATTTAAAATTTTTTACGAAAATTTGTTTTAGAAAGTATGAAAAAAACTGTTCCAAACAAAACCTAAGATGACCCTTATCCTAAAAATAATCTTTATATGTAGGGCGATCTTCATTGTACGTGAAGGGGTAGAACTAGAAAGAGCTCGTCCCTTGAATTTTTTTTTTTCATAGAAAAGTAAACTTATTAACTATTTTGCCCACATAGTAAAAAAAATATTTTCAATTTCATATAAGATTATGCATTTCATAATTCTATTTTGCCCAAGCTCATAGGAGAGGCTGATTCTGCCATGAGCCGTTGATTGCTTTTCCTTTATATATATATAGCTCGGTATTGAGCTCAGTATTGAATAAGTGGTGATGTGGCGTATTTTCATTGGCCTCCGAATAGCGTCTGGTATTCGAACCCAATAATTTCCCCTCAAAAAGTGACTGGTTCCACCCTGAGCCATTGATTGCTTTTCCTTTATATATATATATATATAGAGAGAGAGAGAGAGAGAGAGAGAGAGAGAGAGAGAGAACCTGTGAGGCCTTAGGAAGCCAATCAAGGGCTGAGCCAATATCAAGCCATAGATGCCCAAACCCATCCTTTGATGAGTGTTGCTGAAGGAATTATCAAAGTTCCTTATAGAGAGGACCGCAGCTCTTGTTGCAAGGAGGACAGCACTCATCTGTACAACCAACAACATTATAAAGTTTTTATATTATATTAACCTTCAACATTTTCTATTTTAATGCCATAGAAAGCGATGATAAAACTCTACTAACCTGCAAAATAACATGAGAAAAGAATAGAAATCTAAGCCTTCTTCCACATTGAACTCTGTTAGAAATCCTAATTACGAGGATTCCAACAGGCATTAAGAATCCAATGGAAGCCCATAGAAGAAAAGCATGGAGTTTTACTTGAAAGCTAAGTTCTGTAGTAAACTGCAAATCAACACAAAAAACAACTCATCAGAAACATAAATCAAAAGCATAAACAAACAAAACTATGTAGGATCATTACCTTCACTGATGAATGGGGAGCTGGAGCTGATTTCATCATTCTTTCTCCTAATCCGAGCTTATAACAGAAGAAAACAAGAACTGGAAACCAAATAGATCAATTACAGCACTGCTCCAAGCTTTCACTTCCTGATAAGCAGCTCACTTTATGATCACTAAGGCCATGAAATTCATAACCATAGCGACTAATAAGGTTTCAGAACCATACATAGAAGCTTCTCTCTCTCTCTCTCTCTCCTCTCTCTCTTCTCACAGCACCTTGAAATCTCTGATGTAGTTTAGGTGGCTTGTTGTTCAATGAAGGAATGAAACAAGTGGAGAAAAGGATTATAATAAATAAGCTATTAGGAAATATGAGTGCAGACATGCAATGAGAATCTGAGAATGCAGAGAGCACAAAGGCAAAGGTGGCTGTTCTCTCTCCTTAAATAGATATTCTGTATCTGTTTGTCAGAGAAGTGGGCTAAAAGAAAGGAAAGTGAGAGGCTAGTGGGGTGCAGTATACAGTTAGCATGAACTATTGAAGAAATTTCGCAGCTCTCCTTGGCCTATTGGTTGAGAGCTTAGGCTTCCAACTAAGAGGTTCAGGGTTCGAGTCTATGTGTATGCGTTGTGTGTGTGAGTTTGCCTTAAATGGCCTAAATGTCCCAAAAAAAAAAAAATTTACGCAGCTCACCTTCATTATTGATACAGAGTTTTGACTATCAATCACACTATATTAAAATCATCTATTACCGGCAGAATTTCTGGCGGATTTCTAGAGGAGGATTTTCCGTCCGTTTTACCGATGAAAAAATTTCCACCTGAAAACTTTCAAATCCGCGGTAATACGTGATTTTCCTAGTGTCAAGAGATTTTGAATTCAAAGCTTGCGTATATGATGTGTGTATGAGTTTGTCTCAATTGACTCAATAATCCAAAAAAAAAACAATCGAAGTAATCCTCTAAGAAAAATATTTTAGAAGTGATGAATAAAATTCTTTTTTTGTTGAGTATTTTGTATTTTTAGGATAATATATTCTTTAGAATAAAGATTTATTATATAATTAATTAATTTCTATATTGTATTAAACATAAATATAAAAATAACTTCAATTTTAAATTTTTAATATTTCATACAAATAAAATTAAATAATAATAAAGGTTAAAAAGAAAAAACGCTCACATTTGGAAATAAAAAGAATGCCATAATGGAATTTCAGTCCAATAGAATACGACAGCCATGCAGGTCCACTTTAGAATCAAGTCAACTAGTCAACATCGAGTTGTGGCGCGTTAAGCTGTTCATGAGACCAATGGTCTAACTCTTATGGCGAGGGAAAGGTGATGATGTCATGATGTTTGTAAATGGGCTGTGTATGGGGACGGTGCAGGATAGGTGGAGTGGACCGGAGGAACTGTGAAGAGAAGACACGTGACACAGCCAATCAATCCTTGGACGGGCACGTGTGGCGGGTTGTGGTGGGTTGTTTTGTATGGATGGTGATTAAGCTTTATCAACCGTTGATTTATTTCTCACATTTGAAATTATTTGAGTGGGTTTGTCTTCAAGTTAATAGGAAATTTGACTTTATTATAACTTATGAAGCTATTGTAGGGGACCTAGTTAAAGACCTTTTTTTTTTAATGCAAAAGCATGAAAATGATGTAGAAATTTTAGAAACAAAATTAATTGTATATTCCCCATAATACCCCTATTTGGAAATGAATAAGAAGAGCAATTTGTGATTAGAGCTTAATGGAGAATGAAGAAGCTAGCCATTGATAGCATGTGATAAGTTCAATTAAAACTGATGGGAGTTTCTTGGGAAAACCATTGACATATGATCGAACATGTGACATTTCATTGGATGACATTGATGGGAGAGCTATGTGTGAAAGAGGAAGGATTCATAGCTTGGATCTCTAGTTTTCGAGCATTTTCAAACAATTTCAAACTCAGTTTAGATCTTATTTGAATAAGGATTGAACAAAATTTGAGTCAAATTGAACTTGATTCAGTTCGACTATGGGTTCCTATTGGTTCAAATTTAAATATGTTCAATCTATTCAAGATACTCTGACTTCAAAAAGAAAAAGATTATCCTTCATTCGAGTGTGATTTGATCCAAAATGAGCTTACAAGCATCTCTAGAAAAAAAAACAGCGAGCATATTTCTTCAATTTTTGATATTATGACGCATGTAAAGTGGGAATTTCCTTTTAGAATTTTAATAATAATTATCTTTTAAAATTAACTTTTAAGAAAATTTGCATACATATCACAAAGGTCTTATTTGTTTACATATCTAAAGTCTAAATTTATTTATTTATTTATTTATTTATATAACACGATAATCCCTAAATTTCATAAGAAAATATTATTAAGATTACTTGTCTAAAGTCAAATATATAATTTTCTTTATATATTTTAATGCAATTTTAATATTAGAATGCCATATTAATAAATATAAAGATTTGTGTTATATATATATCCACTAATTTTTATCAATTAAATTAATTGACATTATAATAATTATATTTTTTTTATGAGTTGAGGCTT